CAAAAACAAAACAAAACAAAACAAACACCCCTGAACATCAAGGAAGTAAGTAGGAATCTACAAGGATAATCCCAGCTAAGATGCCTAGCCATAGCAGATACACAGCCTGAACTGGCCATCTGTGAACCGATTGGTGCCTAGCCCAGAGAGGTGTCATCCAGCAACTAATGAAAACAGATGCAGACCCACAGTCAACATTAGGTGGAGTTTGGAGAGTCCTGCAGTAGTCAGTGATTGTAGGAGCCAGAGGGGTCAAGAACACCACAAGAAAACTCATAGAATCAACTAAGCTGGGTTCATAGGGGCCCATAGAGACTGAATCAACAACCAGGGAGCATGCAAGGGACTGACCTAGGCACTTTGCATATATGTACAGTTATGTAGCTCGGTCTTCTTGTGGGACTCCTAACAGTGGGACCAGGGCATACTGGGTCAACTTGCCGAGCCTTAGAACACAGGAAGGTTCTTAGTTTTACTGAAACTTGATATGCCATGTTTTGTTGATACTCATGGGAGACCTGCTCTTTCCCAAACAGAAACAGAGGAAGAGTGGATTGAGGGGAGGGAACAGATGATGGTTTAGAGGTGGGGCAGGTGGACTGGGAGGAGAAGGGGGAAGGGAAACTGCCGCCAGGATGTAAAATAAATAAATGAATAAATAAATGTATTAAAAGGAAACAAAGTGAATAAACTAATTTTAAAATGGGTACAGATCTAAACCAGAAATTCTGAAAAGAGGAAACACAAATGGCTAAGAAGCTCTTAGAGAAATGTTCAACATCCTTAGTCGTCAGGGAAATGAAAATCAAAATGACTTTGAGATTTCATTTTACACCAGTCAGAACAGCCAAGACTAATGAGACAAATGACAGCCCATGCTGGGGAGGATGTGGGCTAAGGGGAAACTCATCCATTGCTAGTGGGGGCGCAAACTTACAGCCACTATGGAAACAGTGTGATGATTCATCAGGAAACTGGGACTAGATCTACCACAAGATCCAGATATTCCCGAATATTTCTGAAGGACTCTACATTCTATTACAGACACTTGCTAAACCATGCTGCACTATTCCTAATAGCCAGAAAATGGAAATGGCCTAGATGACCATCAACAGAAATATGTAAGTAAAGAAAATGTGGTATAGTTATATAATATAAATATTTTTAAAAATTAAATAATGAAATTAACATGTAAATGGATGGAACTAGAAAAAAATCCCCCTGAGTGAGGTAATTCAAACCTAAATAGAGAAATATGGTATGCGGTCACTTACATGTGGTTGTTAGGTGTCAAGTCTCAAATAAGTAGGCTACAATCAGTATAATCGTAAATGCTTGGTATAGAGTAAGGTATTCATGGGGAGGGAAGGCTCTCCCAAGGAAGGGAAATAGAATATATAGTTATGGATGGATGGGGCATATCTAAGTGGAATCACCAAATAATAGGAGAGGCAAAGCCCTAACTAGACACCTCTCACCAAGTGAAACCTCCAGTGCTGAAAATGGGTTGCATCTAACTGAGTTGTTCATAGGGACCCCATGGAACCTCCAAACATCCCAGGCTATTGCCAAGGCTATTGGCTGTTCTCCACAAATGGATGGTAAGGCCCTATTGCTGAAGACAACACCTACATATCTCACTGAACACAGAGAAGTCAAGCTGTCGCCTATCTAAAGCCTTTACCCATACTACTAAAGTTCATGGTACTGGAAGGTACTCTGCATGCTACCAAAGGAGAAAGGTAAATACTAAAAGAGCTACAAACCCTTCAATCTACAATGGTGACCTGCTTGTGTCATATGCTTGTACAGTAGTGGCACAAAAGTTGTAGGAGTAACCATCCACTATCTGATTGGATTTAAGGTCCACTCCATGAGATGATACCTGTCCCCAACACTGCTCAGGTAACTAAGAATCTGGTATGAGATTGGCCATGGACCTAGGGGAAAATCAAATACTACTATGGCCAATAACTCATAATGGTGAATCCCATGCCTGGCACTGAGATGTTCATTTAATAACCTATTCTGAGAACAGCATTTCCCACAAGTGCAGGATACCTATCACAGAGACACATGCACATTGGTATTGCATGCACAATAGCAAAAATGTGGAATTGGCCCAGTTATCTACCAACAAATGATTGAATAGTATATAATGTAGTTTCAATCAATCATAAACAAGATAAAATTCTGTCATTTTTAATAAGAAAGACAGGAACAGAGAGAGAGAGAGAGAGAGAGAGAGAGAGAGAGAAAATTGAACTGTATATCACTATGTTAAATGAAATAAGCCAGAGTCAGAAAGATAGATATCATATGCTTTCTCTTGCATGAGAAATCTTGTGTGTGTGTGTGTATGTGTATGTGTGTGTGTGTGTGTGTGTGGGGGGGGGGTGCACATGTGGGTGTGCCTGTGCATGTGCGTATACCTAGAACAGAGATTGTAGGGTGAAGGAGGGCAAGCAATGAGAGGTGGAAGAGAACAAGACAAGGTAATGGAGGCTGAGTATGAGCCGAGTACATGAAGTTCATGGGAGGAAAGATCACAATGAAATCCATTCTCTTGTACTATGCTGAAGAAAGAACATAGATTAAAAACACCAAATCATCAAATCTGAGATAGGAGACCTATGTGGTATCCCTAGGAGTCTATCTAATCCTTTTCCATTTCCCTCAAGCAGGCTTTGGAGATTAGGCTGAGAGAATGCACAGCTAACCTTGACCACAGTGCCTTGTGACCTCAGTATTTTCTATTTGCCAAGAACTCTTTCTTACTAACGTGAATAATAAAAAAGATAGGATAATGCCAATTGTATTTATGGATCAGAGAACAAAGTCTTTGTCCAATCCTCTGAACCAAAGACACAGATAGCAAAAAGGAGGTTAAGATTGGAAAAAGAAAGCAAAATATAACAACCAAACAAAAAATCAGAAACATAAAACTAACTAGCATGATATTTTAAGATCAGAATTCAAGAAAATTTGCAAAAAGCATCTCAACATAGAAAATAAATGTACTGATAAAAAAAAAATGAGACCCGTGACATAAAAAGGAAATGGGTGTCTGGTGGAGAATAAGACAAAGACATGGTGTCTTCGTGCTGAAAGGAAGAAGTCACCCTGAAACAATGAAGAAAGAGATCTGGAGAAAAATTGAAAGCCAAAATTACCAAGTGTTTGGCAAACTAAAATGTTGTGTTTGAAATACTAGCTGGCACAAGAATGCAAGAGAAATAAATCAAAGGGATACAAATTATCCCTATTTGCAGAACACATTTGGTCCAAAGCCATGCATCCCAGGGGCCTCATAAAACTGTAATATGCCTATCTTTTTAATGTAATACTATCTCTTAAAGCCAGAATTATTGTCAAGTCATGATGGTAATGTTCACCAAGCCTTAGCTGTAGAATTGTGTTATAGATGTGTCTGTTGGGACTGGGCACCCCACAGTCAGTGGTTCTCTGTATTTTTACCGGTTGTGGCTTTCTGTAATTGTCTCCATATGTTGAAAAGAAAAGCTTTGATAAGAGGTGAGAATTACAATTACCTGTGAGTATAAGGATAAATACTTAGGATTCAGGTAGGAACGATGCTGGGTTAGTAGAGCGACAGTAGAAGGGTCTCATCTAAGACCCATGACCTCACTAACCCAAGGGAGTTAGCTAGATTTCCAGTACCAGGCATGATTTCCCTCTTACTGATGGGCCTCACATCCAATTAAACAGTTTTTGGTTACCACCAAGATATGAGTGCCATCACTGCACCCTTAGGTATATTTTGCCATGCTGGTCATTGTTATGGCGCCTAGGCACCACAACTGAGTAGTTCTTAACAGCTTGCATGGCTGGTTCAACTACCTCTTGCTCAGCTGTGTTCATTGCTGCCTATTCACAATAGACAGGAAGTGAAAAGAACCCCAAAGCCCTTCAACTGGCAAATGGACAGTGAAAATATAGGACATATACACTGTGCAATACTAGTCACCTGTAGGAAAAATGAAATCATAAAATTTGTGGGCAAACAGATGGAACCTGAAAATATTATTTCAAGTTGGGTAACCCAGACCCAGAAAGACAAATCCCACATGATCTCTCTTATCTGTGGCTCTTAGCTCCGAATCTTCAGGGGAGGGTATATAACCTGGAGTAACCATAGAAACAAAGAAAACAAAGAAGGTCCAATGTGGGGACTGGAAGGATACAACAGGGAACTGATAAGGGGAGACTTTACTGGGGAGGAAGTCATTACAACACAAGAGGGAAAGATGAAAAAAATAATACTAAGACGTTTGAAAGACCCGTACAGAATTAGATTGTTTTTATTTATCTAAAATGACACATACATGTATATTTATACATATCCATATATAGTCTAACTGAAGATATGCTATCTGGGCTGACCCCAAAGAGCCATAGTCTAACGAAACCTCCAAATTTGAAGTCCACATTCAAGTTGTTGATCAGAGGAATCCAAGAGACACACAAAACAATATAGGCTATTGGTATTGCCCTTAGATGCCTCCAAGAGATAGAAAGTAAGTCCCTATTGCTGAAGACACCATGCACTTTAGCCACAGAACTCCAAAGAGGCCAGCTGGGTTGGTTCTGAAAGCCTCCTCCCTGAAGACTTGTTTATGTGGAAAAAACCAGAACTTCAGAATTCTACCCATGGTGAAGCATTTCAATCATGGTGTCTCGGAAGGCATTCATTGCTGGAGAATGAAGGCATGATCAAGTCATGGATATTTCTGCAGCCTGAAGTCTCTTCCCCACTCTGAACTGAAGTATATTTGGGAAGTACAGAAGGTGCTGTGTGATGTTCTCAAAGTATAAGGGAAGATGTCGGAGATTGCTCTGATGTGTTCTTGCAGAGTTCTAGGAAATATTATCAAGATTTCTACTGAGAAAAGAGAATAAAGATGACATTTACAGATAAGAAAGGTCATTGCCTTTCATACCTTCAGGCAAAGCCAGTCAGGAAATATATAAAGGAAAAGCTCAGCTCAGCTCTCAGCCAAGGCCCTTCCTGGCAAGATGAATCCTGCCGGCTTCTTCCTCCTTACAGTGCTCCTGGTTCTGGTGACAGAAACAGCTTCAAGGAAAACCCGTGGTGAGTGGCAAGTTTGTTCTGCAGACAATGGTCCTGGAAGGGTCCACCTGGAGTCTGCAGAAAGCTGTGTTCCCAGGGCTTCTAGCCCTGATGGAAACGGAGTCTTTTCTGAGTCTTAGCCGTCAGTTTTATGTGAACATCAGTGACATGACAGTCAAAGTGTCAGTAATGAGGGCTGCAGGGGAATGTGGGACATCAGGTGGCACGAGCATCCTCACTGTCATCTCTGGGGGAGTCAAAGGGGCCATTTGACAAGTAGATCATTCCGATTTCTAGCTAGACTAAAAGATCAAGAGCTTTATAGACAACAAAACAGCAACAGGGCACATCTGAACACAGTCCACAACCAGAGCTGAAGCATGGGCTCTTGACAGTGTCCTGATGAACACCTAATCCAGAATACAGGGAAAGATGGACATAGAGAATCAGGCATGCTTTTCTCTCCACAGAAAAATTCTCACAAGCATCTGACGACAACATTGATCTAAAGGCCCTGGGGGGCAGTGGAGGATCCAGTTCTTCCCACGATGAGTACAGCCGCAGTGAGAGCTCATGGAACTCCTTTAAGTCAAAAAGTCCGAAAGCCGTCATCAGCAGCGAGGAAGTCTATGAGGAAAGGAAGCATAAACAGCGTAGTGGGGACAGCAGTGATGACAGGGCAGGCGAATCTTCCGGGGAAATGGAGCACTTCCTACGGCGAAAGGAGAAGCAGCGGTTTGGACAAGAAATTAATAAGTGATACAGCTATGGACCAGCTGAAAGCCTGCATCAATATGAAGGTAAGGATAGTGCTAGACAAGGGAGACCCCTACCCCAGGGTTTAGAAGTTGTGTGTGAGGACTTCCTGGGCGATTATGGACTGATCCCCACTGTGCACACCAGGGGAGTGTGGCCTTGGGAAGGTGAGGAAGGCACCTGGCAGAGCAGAGAAATATACCTGAGCTGTGGCTGTGCTTAAATTCCCACTTTAGTGTGTTTTCAACCTATCTCCCTCATGCATGCCGACAAGTAAACAGATTTGAATATGTGCCGCATGTGCGAGCATATTTATCAGGTTGGAATACAAGCTTGTTAATTCTCAGACTTTTGTTTGGCATGAGTTCACTCTGTGCTCATTGTGGAACAAAGTGCTACAGAGTTGAACTCTTCCCATGGCCACACACCCCTCTTAGGATGCATCTCAAAGACCATGGGTCCAAGAATCAGCTTCCATTGGCCTCTCAATAAAATAAAGAGATGTATAAGAAAGAGAAGTCCCTATTTGTGACACACTAGAGTTGAAAAGTATCCATAAATGGCAGCAGTAAGAACTACAGAAACATGGGTGCCCCTTTCCCCTCTCCCTTCCACCATCACACTTCACAGACTGTGCTCTCTTTCCCTAGGAGTCACATTGTCGGAATGAAGCCTGTGATATCTTCAGAATGGAGACATCTCATGGACTTCAATTGCTTCTCATACTTGCTTTTTCAGATTCCTAAGCCTAACATTTATTAAAAAACACCCTCTTTCCAATAAAAAGACAACATTCTGCATCATTAAGTTTTGACTCTTGAAATCTCATGTACCGGCTGGGAGGGGATTCCTGCAATTAACAGTTCCACAATTAAAGGAAGTGACCTTCTTGTGTCAATATTTTGAAGAGTATTCAGAAACCCATTGTTCAATAGAAAGCACTGAAATTCTGCCAGTCACTGTATGGACCACATATCCTAAATCTCCTCATGACCCTATTCCTCGTGGGACTTCAAGCTGGCAACCTAGGAGATGTCAGAAAAGACTTATTCTAATAGGCCACGGTAAATTCCTCATCTACTGGTGCCTACAGCCCCATCAGGCCACAGAAGCACATCCTTGCACTTGGTTCAACTATCTTGCTCATGGTATACATCCCTTTAAGATTCAATGCCCAAAGTGTGATACATGAAGTATCTCCATCTTATACAAAGAGAGTATGCTAAACAACACCATCAGTGGAGACACACACCAGAGGCACAGCTATAATGGCTAGAGAGGGTGTCTTCAAGTGCAAATCCTGATGCACATATACCTTTCTTTGAGTATTTAATGAGGCTCCAGAGGATAAATATTCAAAAGTAAAAACATCATAGCCTGATGGATGAGAAGTTTGGTTTCCACATGTGCCATAGGAACACACTTACCTTCAAACAAATGTGTCTTTATTTTCTTTAAAATTAAATCTCCAGGGTCTACATGGATATAATGTTAGTATTTTAATTTCAAACCTCATTACAGCATCAAGGATGACACAGACAGAAGCCAGGACACTTCTGTGATTCCACAAACATCACTGACAGATTCTCAGTCAAGGACATGCTTGATCTTTGTACAGAAAGGAGAGCGATTCTAAGTGTGAGCAAATGGCAACTGAGCTGCCTGTGATATTGTGAGAACAGGGTCTCATGCCCAGAGGACAGAACCACTGCACCGGGACTCTGGGATTGTAGCCATCTCTATATTTACACATCCCTCACAGCTAGTAGTTCAGAGGTTTGGGCCATCACCTTGATGCACCCAGCAAAGAGAGCGCTGAAAACGGCATTCTTCTGCAGCTTTATGGGAGAAATTAGAGATCTAGACCTGCTTGGGGCATGGACACACATTTTCCCACAATGTCTCCCATCGGAATGGACACCTGTCCTGCGTCTGTTGCACAGGTGTGCTCTGGAAATACATTGCCTCCCTGGTGTCACAGTTGATAAGTAGAAACTCTTTTTCAGAACTGAAATATCTGGAGGATATATTGATTTAAAGTGGGCAATAATTTCAATTTCAATGTGGGGAGGCTTGGGAGAGACGTTGAATAATTTTGGAATAGGTGAAACACGTTTTGCTTTAGGGACAATACATAGTAGCTTAAGGAAGAGGGCAGGCAGTTACAAATTGAATTGTTTCTTTAACATAGATATCTTTATCCCTGCAGCACCCAGTCTGGAAATGTGTAGGAAGAGTGTCCTTTTAAATACAATCATTCTCATCCAAGCCTTACCTCAGCTCTTCAGTTTCCTAACATCTTCCTCTCAAATTCATTGTTTCTCCTCCTCCCCTTCCTCCTCCTCTTCTTCTTCATCAACATCATCTCTGTCCTGCTTCTCCTCAACACACTGAGTCCAATTTAGTGCCTCCTGATGCATGAGGATGTAGGACATCAGTGCCTGGAGCGTGGCCAACTATTACAGGCAACACTGCTTAAGAAAACTGACTCTCCTTCCAACAGCAGTTATCAACTGCCAATAGCTCCTGGCTAGGTATGGAACCTCATGAGCCTTCTCTCTGTGTGCTGGAGTGTTGACTGGATTAATCTCATCCAGGTCTTCTGCTGGCAAGCACAGCTATCATGAGTCTATGAGGGCACTGGCCCTGTCATGTCCAGAAGTCTGTATTTTGTAGCATTCTCCCAAGACCTCTAGCTCTTACGATCTTTCCACCCTCTGCGGTGATGTTCCCTGAGACTTAACAAGGGATGTGGTGAGGGGAACCTTTATGCCCTGGTTACCCACAGTGAACTTGCTTCCTGTAATCCATTCCACACTAACACTCCCCCTGCCTTTTCGTGAAAGCCTGTAGCCGCCTTCTGCCTTCGTATTCTTTTGATGTGCACATGTGCTGTGCTCTTTACCATCTGGGTTCACTTGTCCTCTCTGACTCGTAGTCTACATCTAGAAATTATTAAGGTGTTTCTACCTCCGTATTTAGTGTTTGTTTACAGGCCCATATGCTAATTCAGACCTTTCTGTTTAAAAACAGTTTGAAATTCCCTGGTTATATGATGCTGGAATATGACATTCACATACACAATTACATATGTGTGGAACCTCATGAGACCCTTCTCTCTGTGTGCGGGAGTGTGTAGCTGGAGATTTCTCCAGTCCTGCCTGGCCCACAGTCAGGACAAATCTCTCTCACCCTCCAGTCCCACAGCTGCTTAGACCCAACCGAGTAAACACACAGAGACTTATATTGCTTACAAACTGTATGGCCACAGCAGGCTTCTTGCTAGCTGTTCTTATATCTTAAATTAACCCATTTCTATTAATCTATAAGTTGCCATGTGGCTCATGGCTTACCGGTACCTTACATCTTGCTTTTCATGGCAGTGGTTGGCAGCATCTCTCTGCCTCAGCCTTCCACTTCCCAGAATTCTCTTCTCTGCTTGTCCTGCCTATACTTCCTGCCTAGCGACTCTCCAATCAGTGTTTTATTTATTAACCGATCAGAGCAACACATTTAACATACAGAACATCCCACAGCACTTCCTCTTTTCTTTTTTTCAAAAAGGAAGGTTTTAACTTTCACATAGCAAAATTACAGATAACAAAACAATTATCAAGCAAGAATTACAGTTACAATATTTAGTCTATTTATAATAACTAGTCTATTTGTATTTGGCAAAATTAAAGAAGATGTCCTATCTATCTTATATTTGTGAGACTAAGGTTTCATATCTAACTTAGCTTTTATCATAACTAAGGAAAATCATAACTAGTCTTCAACTACATCAAAGACCTCAGAAGGATATAATATGGCCTGAGAAATGGGAGAAGGATGCAAGCAACTTTCAGGAGTCTTGCAGGGTAGACAGAGACAGCTGGCAGCCTGGACAGTCACCTAATGTTCCTTTGTAAATTTGGGGCATCTGTCTTCAGCCCACAGGCCTAGAGTCTGTCAGTCATTTCTCTCTGTGTCCTGTAGAATGTCTGGCAGTTTCCTCTGTGAAGCAGGAACCTGAAAGGACCATTTCACCAAGCAAAGTTCAGTGGTCACCTTCCTATGGGTCCTGCATGTCCAGTTGATCAAGCAGTCCAGGCAAGAACAGTTTCTTGCCCAAATGACTGTTTTTGCCAAGAAGATAAACTCCATATAGAGTGTCTTCGATGCCCATCCTCCTCTCTGAAGTAAATCGGTGCTGCCAGGAGCAGACATGTCTCATTGTCCAGAAAGTCTAAATTTTTTAAAACATTTTAAATGTCATATTCTGTAGGTCTTTGAAGTATTTGAAGATTACCTGTCTATCTGAAATGTATCTATGTATACCTAGAAAACTTAACTAACATGAGTATAAGTTTGACTATCATAGAAGACTAATTGTTCCATTACAATTTAAATGAGTTTATAAACATAATACCTTAAACAAGAGTGAAAGTATACATACAGTATAACAAAATTAAGTTTAAACTTGTATCAATAAACTAAAATCCATAGCAATGTAAAATATTTCAAACAAGTTGTTGCTCTTTAAAAGTAGGTTCATTAATCTACCCTTTCATCCTATCATATCTAAACTATCCCCTTTTCTTCTTTAGAAAGATATTGTATTTATAATCAATCTGATTTAAATAAAAATATTGGTTTTTCTCTGTCTCACACCAGAGGGCTCTTCTGATATGGGACAAAAGAATCTCTTAACCTTTTTTTTTTAGGAATATGTTTGGGTTTAGAGAAGGAGTGAGCCAATTCCATCTCCAAAGCTAGCTTGGTATATTTGGGAATTGGGCGTAGCTTCTCTTACTACTTCCTGCTGGAGGGGGGCGCTGTATCTTATGGGGACACAAAGAAAATTTTAGGATTATGGAGTAGTCCGTGGGGTGTATCATCTGAGCCAGTTGCCTTGAAACCATTCTGGATGTTGGATCATCTGGGCCATGGTGTTATCAGAGACCTTTCAGGGGGTCTTGGCTGGTCAAATCTGATGTATCTTAATCTGGAACAAATCCATAGCCTCTTGCTTTCTGTGGAAACAAAGGCAGAG